TCATTCCCAGCATAGTAGACCACATGATTGTCAGATTAAAAATGACTGACATCAGTCTATTTCAGCTTACTAATGCCTAGGATATCGATCTGTATACATTCTGTTGGAAACTTCCTATTTTCCTAGATTCAAACTTCGTGTATTTCACATTCCTATTATTAATGGATATTAGCAGCTATGTCTTCCCATTTTGAGTCATTCCCTATCAGCAAATGAAGGTTCTGAAAGCTTTACTCCATCCATGTCATGAAGGTCGACTCAATTTTGAGAAAGCAGCTCTTCCTCCATCCTGTTTTGAGTGCCTTCCACCCTGACGGGCTCATCTTCTGAGAAGTTTCAGGGTTATTCTTAAAGTTTCGAGTAATGTATCAGACAATCTTTCACTGCTATTCCTAAGATTTTCACTGGCCAATTTTTTTCAGAAGTTGATGGCCCTGTCCTTCTTCTCAATTGTCTTAGTCTAGAAGCTCCACTGAAACCTGTCCACCATGGGTGACCCTGCTGGTATTTGAAATACCAGTAGCATAGCCTCTAGCCTCACAGCAACATGCAAGCTAACACAGTATGACAAACTGAACATCTGATTTATATTTAATATTTAATATTAATCTTTTATATGCATGAAATACTTTGGGTGGCTATTTAAATATCTGTAAATAGTTACTTCAAAAAGTCTTGGCAAAAGAAGAAGTTTGGAGGGGACCTTTACTTTTCAACTTATAAACTTCAATACAGGTTTAGTTTAGTTTAGTTTAGTTTTTTACCATAAGTAAATATTATAATCTAACTTTAAGCAACTATTTAATTTTAAAACACTCATACCTCATTTGGGTGCAAGTTTCTGATATTCTACTTCACTACATGTTATTGGTTCCTTTTCAGTGCAGGCTGCCTAAGACCCACTGTACTCTGTAGCTAACACTACAGAAGTCAGTGTTCTATAACAAGCTATTGGAATAAGCATCTGAGGTTCCACTGATAGCACTTGGACTATCATAATTGTCACTAAAGACCACCACTTATACCCAATTTGCAAGCATCTTTCTTTCCTTACCTGGGAGCAAATCAAAAGAGCCAAGGACTTACACAGGTAAAGCTCCTCTATTCTCCATCTTAATCTCTGACAGTTAAATCAACACATAGCTTCAGGTCAAGGGCAGTTTCCTGACTGCTAATCCAATTTTAGGAGCCCTGGTGGCACAGTGGTTAAGTGCTCAGCTGCAAACAGAAAAGGAACTAATCAACCAACTTCTTGGCTGCCCTGCACAAACATGTATTATATGTCTCCTCTGTGCCAAGCTCTCTGCTAGCCACAGGGTCTGTCCACATAGAGGTTATTATCATTATGTCAGGATTTTTTGAACATACTACAGAGTCTTTCAGAAACCTGAGAAGCTAGATCTCTGACCTAAAAAGCCACTAGAAAACCCACAACTTAACTCTCTATCACCAAAGTTCAAGAGTCTTTGAAAGCAGCAGGGATTCTGGTACTGACAAGATTATGACCAGTGTTAGGATAGCAGAGCTAGCAAGTCCCAGACTCAACAGTTCTAAAGAACTGGAAAGTACTTGATTCCATTTAACTTCATAAATGGAACAACCAAGAGAAGTAATTTGTTTCAGATCACATTATTAGTTCATCACATGATCAGGTTTCCTGACTGCTAATCCAATTTTAGGAGCCCTGGTGATACAATGGTTAAGTGCTGAGCTGCAAGAAGAAAAGGTGGTGGTTCAAACACACCCAGTGGGTTCCCACCCGTGGTCTACAGGAGAAAGACCTGCTAATCTGCTCCCCATCTTTATAATCTTTATAGATTACACCCTGGAAAACCCTATGGGGTAGCTCCACTCTATTACATGGGGCTGTTATGAATAGAAAATCAGCTCAATGGCATCTAACAATAACAATCCAATTTTTGTGCATCTCTCCCAGTTTTGTGGCTTCCAACTTCTCTTGGTCACTTTTTAGACTAACTGTCGTTCCACTCTTTCCTCCTTTCTGTCACTCTCATCACCTAAGAAGTATCCTTAACACTGTCCTAAATAAGGCCTTTTCTCAAGTTTTCATCTCAGAATTGTGTTGCCATTTGACAACAGAAGGGATGACTGAGTAGCGAAGGATAGAAGTAGGGTAGGTGATAGCTGGGAGCAATGGTTAACCTGAGACTGAGTATGCACAACAGGGAGAGATGGCAATAAGCCCAATACATATTTGGCACCCTTGTTCTAATCCCTTAAAATTCAACTTTCCCAAAGCCCAGTGACAGGATGCCTTGCCAAGAAATATAACTATTTCAACTCAAAGATTAATTTAAGCCTGCCCTGCAGACCTGATCCAGAACTATGCAAACTCCTAAAGTGCCCTGGAATGGAAGCAGAGCAAGATTGGAACCAGGGTTCCTGTCCCATCTCGTGCTGCAAGGATCCAAAACTATCTCCCTGGGACTGAAGGCAAAGACAATGGGAGGTTTGGAGGACACTTGATTCTTGTGAGAAAAAGAGATAGAAAGGGAGAGCTAGAGGGAGCCAAAGACAGAAAGTCCATATCTGGTTATTTGTCATCTGATTGTCCAGGCACCCAAAGTTACCATGTTGCCCGGGGAAGCAAAAACTGTTAATTAATTAGCCTTTCCTGAATGATTCTTTCTCTTTCTTTCTTTCTCTCTCTCTCTCTCTCTCTCTCTCTCTATCTATCTATCTCCCCCTTTCCCTCCCTCCCTTCCTCCTTCCCTTTCTCTTTCTCTCCCCTCTTCTTGCCTCGGTTAACACTAGTAATTATCCCGCTCTATTTGAGAAGTCATTCATAATTATGACAACAGTGGTACAATGTAAATCTGTTGCAACATGAAATTGAAAGTCTTGCAAACCATGAAGGATTTAAAGAAATCACTTACAGGGTTGTTACAGGGTAAGAACTGGTTAAGCCCTCAGCTGTTAACCTAATGGCTAGAGGTCCAAAATTCACAAGCCACTACACAAGAAAAAGATGTGGCAGTCTACTCCTATAGAGACTACAGCCTTGGAAACCCTATGGGGCAGTTCTACTCTGTCCTATAGGTCACTATGAGTCAGAGTTGACTCGACAGCCATGGGCTTTAGATAGCAGAACACCCAGCCATGCCACTGACAAATGAGGATGGACCACAATTAGATCAATGAATGTGTTGTTGTTGTTATTTGCCGTCGAGTCGGCCCTGACTCATAGCGACCCCTCCTTGGGTTTCCGAGGCAGTATCACTACGGGAGTAGGATTGCCCAACCTTCCTTCCAAGGAGTGGCTGGTGGGTTTGAACCGCCAGCCTTCTGGTTAGCAGTCAAGCGCCTTAGGCACTATGCTACCAGAGCTCCTAGATCAATGAATAAGGATGAGAAAATCAACAAGGGATAGCAAGAGAATAATTTGAATACCAAAGGGTTAAAAGAAGTCTTTAAGCAAAACAGTTAAGGTTTACAGTAGAGTTGATGCAGACTCATGGCAACACTACAGAATAAAGTAAAACTGCCCCATAGGGTTTTTTAGGCTGTAATTTTCACAGGAGCAGATTGCCAATCATTCTTTTATGGAGACACAGGTGGGTTTGAACCACCAACCTTTTGGTTAGCAGCCAAGTGCTTTAATCAATGTGCCACTATATTTTTGCAAAAAAGAAAAAAAACCTTTTTAAGATAGTCCTGAAAATCAATCACAAAACCAAGGATGTCTCTTTGTGCTTTCAATATTATAGACATAATGAGACCCAAAAAATAAATACCTCTTTTTTGTTTGTTTAAGATACAGTGCTAGTTGCAATTATAGCCTAAATATTCTTTTTATGTATATACTATAAAATATTTCAAGCAGAAACAAAGACTAGTACAATGAACCCCTTTGTGCTCATAACCTAGCTTCAAAAACTATCAACTAATGGCTAATCTTATTTCTTTCTTTCTTTTTTAAATTGCTTCATCCATATCAAATCTGCCCCTTAATTATCATCTATTTTCCCTTCCTTCCCCTCTTCTCTTAATTATTCTCAACTAAAAGGTAAAAATAAACTTAGTTTTATGATTTTCAGTTCCAGTGAAACTTTTTTTTTTACCACGAAAGTGTGCACACTTGATTTCAGTGGGTAGTATCCTTTCTCTAATATCAATTGTCTTCTGATAATGAAGACATCCTGAGGGTCTAACAGCCACCTTTCTGAATCATGCATCTTGGGCCAGGGTCAGATGGTGGGTTGTTAGGGAAACACAAAACTAGTAGTAACATAGCTAGTTGTGACTGACCCTTATCTGTGTGTTGCATCAGGCATTGTTCTTGATGTTTCATGGTCATTAATTCATGTATTCTTCACAATAATGTTATAAGATAAGAGGCATTTGTTATGGACTGAATTGTGTTCCCAAAAAATATGTGTAGAATTCTTGACCCTTCTACCTGTTATGTGGTTTTCCTTTTGTTATGAAAATGAAATCATATCAATGTAAGGTGGATCCCAAACTTAATCACTCCTGAGTTTAAAAAAAAAAAAAAAGGATAGACATGGGGACACACAGGGAAAGATAGAAGCCACATAAAGATCATCTACAAGTTAAGGAATGCAAGAAATAAAGGAACACTGGGGCTACCAAAAAGGAAGTAATCTACACAGCCAAGACCTTGATATGGATTGATAGCCTCCAGAACTATGAGAAAATAAATTTCTATTCTTTAAAGCCACTCACACTTACGGTATTCAGGTTATAGCAGCACTAGGTGACTAAGACATCATACTTACCCTCCTTTGACTGATGAGGAAACTGAGGCACAGAAAAATTAATTCATGTGCCCAAGGCCATACAACTAGGAAGTGATGGCACTGGAGTTGCACCTTGTGGTGACTCCTGAGCTCATGCTCTTTGCCATGATGCCCTACATAATCTATGTGCCTTTGAGTTTAGCTTCCTATGGGAGACAACACATTAACTGTTAAGGAAGAAAAGATACTTCTAGGACTGTCCCTTAAGCCCTGACTCACCTGGCTGTGTTGAGGTTCCGGTAGAGCTGCCCAAGGGATTCCAGCAGCCTCCCCTCCATCTCCCGGTCCCTGAGTTGCTGAGCCAAGGCCAGCCAGTGTTCATGGTAAGTGATGCATGCTTCAGGGTTTGGGGACACAGAGCTGTAGAAATGGCAGAGGGATTTGGTGACCTGAAGCTGACCTGAACATAAAGCAGGGAGATGAATGAAATGACTTGAGATAGAACATGGGAAAAATGTGCTCTAACATGTTTGTCTAATGCTTCTCAGCACCACAGGACATACTCACTCTTTAGGTGTTGATGCCTTAAGCCAAACAGCAACGCCATTTCATAACAAAGACGGCCACAGGCCAGCTGGCGTCCATATACCAGGACTTGGGCCAACCAGAGTAGTACCTGCACCAATTCCATGTCTGTCTCCTTGCTGGCCTGGAGTTCAGAATAGAGTCTGATGGCCTGCAGGAGATAGTTCCTGGCTGGTTGCTGAGCCCAGGCCCTAAGGGTCAGATGGCCAAGATTGGCCAGAGTCACTGCCTGGTTACGCACATTTCCCATCTCCCGGGCTCTGTTCAAGGCCCGGAGATAGCTCTTAGCTGCCTTATTCACCCGGCCTTCACTTTGAAATGCCAGTCCCAGGAGGTTATGAACCACTCCCTTCTGGGTGACATTCTCTGTGTCCTTCAAGGAGCCTAAGAGTGGCTCAAGGATATCCAAAGCCTTCTTCTCCTGGCTGGCTAAGAGATAAGCCCATGCCAGGCAGAGGGATGACTCAAAAGCTTCCAGCTCACTCAGCAGCTGCCCTAGTGCTAAGGCTTGGCTCAGGTAGTAGATGGCACCATCAGGAGACCTGTGTTGGAGATACATTTTGGACAGGATGAGACATAGGGCCCTCTGGATGCTCTGGTCTGCCTGTTCCTCACAGGCAGCCAGTGCTTGCCTAAGTGTTGGGCAGGCCAGAGCAGAAACTTCATCCCAGTTTGAGAGAGGGACACCAAGGAGCTTGCTGACATTCTGGAAGACCAGATGGACCTGCCAAATAGGAAGACACATCCCTTGGACACTTTGATTACCACATTGCTGAACAGAAGCCACTGCGAGGTGTGGAAGATATTTCTTGTCGTACAGAAAACTCAAGATGTTGGTCACAGCCTCTGAGGCAGAAGGATGTCCAGAGAGGAGCTTCAGACGCTCAGCAAAGGGCAGGACCTCCTCATGCCGGCCTAGGTTTAGAAGCAATCGGATGGCCAGAAAGCAGGCTCGGGCCTCCAGGGGGTTACTGCCCACCACAATTGCCTGACGCAGCAAGTAGACCACCACATCGAGCTCATTTTTGGCAGTAAACTCACGGTCAGGTAGGCAGGCCAATAGAGCCCCTGCCTTTTCCAGCAGTGTGGAGCTCTTATGCCTCAATCTCTGCCTCAGGTAGATGGCAGCCAAATTGATGTACAGAGCAGCTACCAATGGCAAGTCATCAAATGCCCCATTGAGAATGTAGATAGCCTCCTCAAAGTAAACCCTGGCCTGAGAGAGTTTGACCTTCCTGACACTCAGACGGCCCAGGAGAAAGCAGAGCCGGGCATGAGCCCAAGTCATGTGGCTCCGTTTGGCCCACTTCCTCGAGGCCTCCAGGTAAGCCACAAGCTCATCTTCCTCAGAAAAGCTATAGAAGGAAGTAGTGAGAAAAGAGAAAGAGAAATCATAAAGGCTCTTAAAGTGGTCAGCATAACCCTCATGCTCCAGAAAAGCCAATATGGTGACAAAGTCCTCAGCTTCCTCCTCTTCTTGACCAGTGTTTAGGTCCATGAACAGTTCTGGGTCATCAAGGTCATCAGGCTCTGGCAAGTGATAGCTGTCAGAGGCAGCTGAGAGGAGTTCCTCCTCTGGACTGGAGTCCTCGGAGCTGCTGGACTGTGTGGAGCCCACAGCCTGATGCTCCTCCCAGGTTCCACCAGGCCTGGCCTCCTTGAACCCTTCAGGCTGGGATGCTGTAAGGGACAGGCAGAGTTGAACAACCCTAAACACCTGTAATCAAGATAGCCAGCTTTGACAAGAGGGCAGAAGTGCTGTCCTGAAGTACTGGAGGTCAGGTTCAGCATGGTCTCTACTCACCACTCAGATCCTTTGGAAGATTCTGGATGGATTCAAATCCACCTGGGTAGAGATGAAGGATAGATCTGGTATTAGGTCAGAATGGGCCACCATGTCTATGTCTCGTGACCCTTTCTAAGATTCTGGCTTTAAGTTCAGGCCTCCAGTCATCTTTAAAGAATTGGATACAATTCTCCCCTTCTTCATCTACTTAAGAGCTGCAAGAGCCTGAAGATCATCTTGTTTAACCCACTCACTTTACAGCTGGAAACTGAAGTAGAAATGAGATCCAGAGTCAAAGAAGAAAAGCTGAAAACACAAACTATTCGAAGACGTGTGGGTATACATGGGATAATAGATTCTGAAGTTCAAAGAGGTATGATGACTTGCCCAAATTTCCTCACATTTTGTTGTGTATCATTTCGTCTTCCTTCTTCCAAACACTCATCATCTACCCACCACAGACAGTGACTTAGTGTGGGCAATATGCTGGGCACTGGGCATCATGAGGTGGATGAGACTGAGTGACCATATGTGAATGATGAAGAGAAGAAATAAAGAGGCATTGTTGTTGTTGTTATGTGCCATCAAGTCGGACCCGACTCAAAGCAACCCCTCCTTGGGTTTCCAAGGCAGTATCACTACGGAAGTAGATTGCCCCATCTTCCTTCTGAGGAGTGGCTGGTGGATTTGAATTGCCAGCCTTCTCGTTAGCAGTCAAGTGCCTTAGGCACTATGCTACCAGAGCTCCCAAAGAGGCATTAGAGGTGCCTATTAAGATGAGTCAAGGGGAAGAGACAGTAGTGACTAGTTTCAGAAATTTTGAGTTGGAGGTTGTGATGCATGAATTACTTGGTATGGCTTTGCTAGCCATGGTCTTTGTGACTCCCACTAGATTACTGGGTGGGATTACACAAATGTGAGGTTGTTGTGGCCCACCAAGGGGATTAGATAACTTGCTAATAATGTGAAAAAATACATGGCACCCTTGTGGGAGTGAGGCTGCACAAATAAGAAATATGGAACCCAAATATGGGGATTGGTCAGTTTCCTCATCTCATTAGGCTTAAAATGAGCCATCCCAGAGGTGGAAAGGGGGAATCTCACTATCATCAAGAAAGAAGAGCAAGAAATGGATTGCATCCTTGGACCTGAGGTCTCTGCACTGAGACAGTGAGAAACAGTGGCAGAGGAATGATGGCACCAGAGGCAGCAGAACCAAGAGACCAGCACAAGACAAGGCAGTGGTCTTTCTGACCCACAGATTGAGAAAACTGAGTGCCTTTGGGCAAATCTTGTTGGCAGAGTGGGGTACCTCTCTGGGCACCTATCAGAGAGCTAAAAGAGCTTTGTAACACTTGCCTGAGCAGGGCAGAGGTCAAGCGGGGAGAGGGCTGAGAGACCAAGGCTAGAGAAAAGTGTGCTAGTAACAAGGCTGAGAAGAAGCAGTCCTAACTGAAGAACTATATCCTGAGTTGCTTCTGATCTTGAGTTGTAGCCTGTAATTTCCCTGATGAATCCCATAATCATGAGTATTGTCTGTGAGCTCTGTGTGGCTATTACAATGAATTATCAAACCCAACAGGCAATGGGTGCCATCGGAGGGACAGCTGGTGCCAGAATTGACAAAAAAAAGATTAGAGGGTGGAAGCATGTGTGACCTCCATCTCAGAAGAATTAAGCTTGTGCTGATCCTTCTATATCCTTGTGAAGTTAGAGGATGTCAGAAGCCGCCCCCATATCCTTTTAGCAGAGATAGTTATAAGAGCTCTAGGCAAAGAATGAAATAGGTCTGCAGAGAACGAAATAGGTCTGCAGCCAATGAGAAAAGTTGAGGCTTGTAAATATAAATTTGTGACCCACAGCAGAAAGAAGCCAGTCAAAGTTCCAGGACTGAAGGAGATCACACAGGAGAGGCATATGGAAGAAAAGTCAAATGAGGGGAGAAGGGTGGTGCTAGAGGGGATTATTAATAAGCCTGATGAATATGAGCATTTCCTGGCCAACAGGAGCCAACGCTAATGCACCCAACTGTCCAATGGCATTTTGTGTCAGAGGCAGTGTGAAGAAAAGGAAATTGTACTGAATAGCAGTTAAAAGAGCTCAGCTCTTATTTTGGCTCAGGCAGTAATTCATTTGGTCCTTCAGTTTCCCAGTCTGTAAAATGAGCAAAGAAATCAACAACCCCATCTTTGTCAGTAGGGACCTAGACCTACTTTAGCCCTAGTAGGAGAGATCTTAGCCACAACTCAGGAAGTTCTTCTCCATGATTAGGATGGAAGGCCTAATATGGCTGGCCACCTTTGGCATAGCTGAGTTGACATCATCATATCCCATAGTTTCTAGGCAACATGTCCCATGTAACCCCAGAATGATCTGAGATCAAAAGTGAAAATGCTTCCAATTAAATATGACCAGGGCCATCAACTGAGTAGTGGCAAAACTCCAAATTCATTCATGGCATTAGAGATACTCTATTCCTGTTTAGAAACATTATCCTTTATCTTGAGGTATCTGGGCTTTCAAATAGGTCTAGGGAATAAACACTCACTAAGCCTGTAAACAGATGTTATATCAGTGTGAGCAAGCATGTGGAGGAAGCTGGAACACTCTGCTCTCCTCTCACTTTCCAGCACCCACAGGGAGCATCTTTCCTCATCACTGAAGAAGGCAGAGTTCTTGCTCCTGCATTGAGGCAAAAGACATGGAAACAGATCAGTGCAAGGTTCCTGATATGACCCCTTCTGCCTCCACATTAGAATACACTGAAGAGCATACAGCCATCAACCCATTTTGTCCACAACTGGAATCTCATTCCTTGTCTTGCTGTTGCATAAAGTATTTATACTACCAAGAGAGAATAACTATTATCATTTCATCCATGGAGAGCTGAGTTATGTGGTTGCTGGGTAACTCTAAATGGAAATGAAACATCACTTCCATTAAAACATCATCTCTCAAGAAAGAGCAAAACTCCTTTCTTCAATTCCTTCCCTTTCTTTGAGACCACTTTATGTCCATTAGTAATGACAGAGTAAGAATTGGCTGCCTAAAATATAAGAATTGGAAAACGACGATTAAAAAGAAATTTATTTGTTTATTTCTTAATTTGTTTCAGGAAAAAGTTACGGATTGGTGACACAATCTGAAAGAACAATGAAGAAAGTTTCACTATGGTCAGAAGACCTATCACAATTGTTGAGATCTGATTCCATGACACAGAAAAATAGTATTACATCTCTTTAAGAGACAAATAGAAATGAACTTTTCAAGGTCACACCACTAATAAATGGCAGAAGTAGAACTAGAGTCTGAAGTCCTCACATGTGGCCCAGGGATCTTTCCACCAGGCTGCACTGAACCCTCATCTCTTTGGCCTGATCCTCAGATTCTCCCCAGCATGATAAGAGCTGCTATCCTCAAGACAGCATGTAATTGAAATCTACAACTAAATTTTAGTTGGGATTTCCTCTATACCAACAAAGAGATTTTTCAAAAGGAAATAAAGAAAACAATACCATTTACATTAGCTACCAAAAAGATAAAATACTTGGGAATAAATCTTACCAGGGACAAAAAAACCTATACAAAGAAAACTATCAAACACTACTACAAGAAACTATAAGAGAGCTACATAAATGGAAGAACATACCATGCTCATGGATAGGAATAGTGAACATTGTGAAAATGTCAATACTACTCAAAACAATCTATAGATTCAAAGCAATCCCAATCCAGATTTCATCAGCATTCTTTAAAGACATGGAAAAACCAAGCACTAATTTTATATGAAAAAGAAAGAGACCTTGGATAAGCAAAGCACCACTGAAGAAGAAACACAAAGTAGGAGGTCTCACACTCTCTGATCTCAAAACCTACTGTACAGCCACAATAGTCAAAGCAGCCTGGTATTGGTACAATGACAGACACATAGACAGTGGAACAGAATTGAGAATCCAGAAATAGATTCATCTATCTATGGAGAGTTGATCTTTGACAAAGGGCCAAAATCCATTATGTGGAGAAGACACAGTCTCTTTAACAAATGGTCGTGGCAAAACTGGATATCCATTTGCAGAAAAATGAAACAAGATCCATACCTCACACCATACACAAAAACTAGCTCCAGATGGATCAAGACTTAAATGTGAAACCTAAAACTATAAAGGTCATCAAAGAAAAAATAAAGGCAAACTTAGGAGCCCTGATTTATGGCATAAATAAACTATCAAGCATAACCAAGACTACACAAACAGCACAAGATAAACTAGATGTGTGAGACCTTCTAAAAACTAAATTCTATGTGCATCAGAAGACTTCTCCAAAAGAGTAAAAGGAGAACCTACAGATTGGGAAAAAAAATATTTGGAAGTAACATATCCAACAAGACACTTATCTCTAAAATTTATAGAGAATTCCAACACCTCAGCATCAAAAAAAGATACACAATTCAATTTAAGAATGAGCAGAATACATAAACAGACACTTCTTCAAAGATATTCAAGCAGCCAACAAACACATGAAGAAATACTCACGTTCATTAGCCATCCAAAACCAAACTCACTGTCATTGGGTCGAGTCTGACTCACAGAGACATTCATTGGGTCTCCAAGGCTGTAAATCTTTATAGAAGCAAACTGCCTCATGTTTCTTCCATTGAACAGCTAGTGGATTCGCACCATTGACCTTTTGGTTACCAGCCAAATTCCTTAACCACTACACCACCAGAGCACCTTCATTAGATATCAGAAAGATGCAAATCAAAACAACAATGAGATATCATCTCACCCCAGCAATAATACTGACGTTCAAATAGAAAATAACAAATGCTGGTGAGGGTGTGGAGTGATCGGGACTCTCATACACAGTTGGTGGGACTGTGAAATGATATAACCACCATGGAAAACAGTATGGTGGTTCCTTAAAAAGTTGGAAATAGAAATACCATTTGATACAGCAATCCCACTACTAGGTATATAACATAAAGAAGTGAGAACCAGGACATGAATAGATAATGCACATCCATGTTCATCACAGCTACTCACAATAGCAAAGAGATAAAAACAATCTAAGTATCCATCCACAGGTGAATGGATAAACAAACTATGGTACATATACACAGAGCAATACTGTGCAACACTAAAAAATAACAAAGAATCCACGAAACACCTCACAATGTGGATGAACTTGGAAGACTTTATGCTGAATAAAATAACTGAATTACAGAATAATAGATATTGTATGAGTCCACAATTGCAAATAATAAAAGAAAAATTTACAGACAGAAGAAAAATCTGTTTGTTGGTTACCAGGGATGAGAAAATTGCTATATAAGTAGGAGACAAGCATTGATTTGGGTGAATGGAAAGACAATATACCAAAAGCAAGTGACCAGCACAATAACACTAAGGAAAATCAAGACACAGAGAGTTGCATAAGAGGTATGGACAGCAAAGGTGAACACTTTTACACAAACAATACTGCATTATTAGTAACAACAAACAATCTACAGGTAGATACATAGACAGGCTGAATGATCAAGCATAGGTAGGCAAAGGCAATATACCCACGATCATATGTAAGTGTGGCAGATGATATTTCTATGTACATATTTTTATGTTCTAAAAGAATGTCCAACTACACAATAGATCTAACAGGGGACAAAGTTATGATAACTTCCTAACCACAGTCAAACACCTTGAGAGAGTTCATCACTGGGCCCACAGTCTTTGGATCATGGTCTCAGGGGGCACCAAGCTCAATTGGCATAACATAATACACAAAAACATTGCTCTACATCCTTCTTTTGTGAGTAATACCTGGAGTCTTAAAAGCTTGCTAGTGGCCATCTAAGATGCAACAATTGGTCTCTCCAAGTCCAGAGCAAATAAAAATGAAGGAAATCAAAGATGCATGGAAATAATTACTCCAAGGGACTAGTGGACCTTGTGAGCCTCTGTCTACATGACTCTGAGAACAGAAGAACTAGATGGTGCTCTACTACCATTATCAACCACTTGGAAATTAATCAAAATAGGTGATCCTAGATAGACTATAAGAAAAATGTGGAACACAACCAAAATCATTAAAAAAAAAAAAAAAAAAAAAAAAAAAGACCAGGCTTACTGATCTGATAGAGACTGTGGTCCCTAGTTACCCTTTGGACCTGGAATTGAATTCACTTCTGTGTCTTCAAGCCAAATAGTAGACAAGCTTACAAGGTGAACAATTACACCAGATAGGTACACTCCTCATAAAAAACAACAAAAGGGCAGCATTTGCACAAGGAGATAAGAGGGCACAAATGTGTAGGAAAGAAGGACACAGAAAGGTAACTACAAGGCGGAAGTGGAGAGAGAGCTGTCACATTATGGGGATTGCAATAAATGTCACGAAATAAAAAGTGTATGAACTGTTGAATGGAAAATAAATTAGCTCTGTGAAGTTTCACCCAAATCACAATTTTTAAAAATAAATAAATAAATTTTAATTGAGATCAAAAATAATAGATAATGCTCGATTTTTTTTAACCTAACATTTACAGAGCACTTCTGAATTTATTATTTTATTTACTCTTTACTACAACCTTACAATAGGTATTTACCAGTGTTTATGGATGAAGAAACAGGTTCCAAAAGGTTAAGTGACATGCCCAGAGTAGACTGCACAGCTAGAAAGTACTAAAAGTAAGTCTGAATCTGAGGTCTTCTACCTTGGCATCCATGGCCTCTCAGTTGATCTGCTAATATTCTAAGGTCCAAGAAGGTTGGACACTACATAGGGCTATCCTAACATGGAAGTGAGGATGGAAAGAGTATGGCAAGGCTTCTGGCAACATGGCAGGCTGAGGTGCTGCACACATGGTTAGGTCCATCTTACACACACACAAATTAGGGATAAAAAGTGACAAAGATAAAGATTTTAATAAATACTTTAGCATTAAAGAAAGAAAGGGAAATCTCTGGGAACAAGTATCAAAAGCAGAATCCAAAGCCAATGGGGAAGTGGAAACAGATGGCCCAGAGACCCTGGGAATCCTCAATCTATATAGCAGTCTTCAGAGTTCGGCTCATCTTCGAATGCCCCTACCCCAGGACAGATGTAACCTTAGACCTGTATGAAGCACAAGTTCCCTGTATAAAGCCTGAATCATGAAGGACTGCTACTTCTTTAAAGAGGGGATTGGTCCTTGCCACCTGCCCAAAACACAGTTTCCATCTGTCTGAGTTTCTGGAAAAAAATCAAACACCCAGGACTACACCATTTGAAAGTGTGGAATCTTAATTTACACTACAGACTGCAGTACCACAACCACAGAAGATACCATTAAAAAATTGATCCTTGTATTCCTCAAGCTCCAGGAGAGGCAAATTCAAAACCGCTATGCGTGGATGCCCTCTCATCCAAGGATTCATGTAAAGAGAATCTTTAAAATTGTTGACAAAACAAAAAATACAAGCCACACAAGAGAATTAACTACCAAAAAAGAGAGCCACCAGATGTACAAAGAAGTAAATTAACACTTCAAAAACTAGATATAACAATAATCAGAAAGATAATTTATAATAAACCAAACCCACTGCCATCAAGCAGATTCCAATTCTTAGCAACCTTATAGGGCAGAGTAGAACGGCCCCATAGGGTTTCCAAGGCTGCATAACTTTACAGAAGTAGACTGCTTCATC